ACCATCTCTAATAACATTCATATATTTTTTCCTAATAGATACTTTATTAATATTATATTGAGAGAAGAAAAATAGTGTTAGAAAGAAATGTTAAACGAGCTGAGGAACAAGCAATAGCTGAGGATAAAGTTCTTCCTTAATCTTCTCTGTGTTCTAAATGTATAAAGATTAAACACTGCAAGATTGCCTGTTACGTTCAGCTGTGAAACAACATCATACCTAATATCATGGTGATTTACAAGCAGGACGAATCTCCCAGGGTGTCTCTAGTGACAAACTGAGATTATCGCACTGTACCAAAGTGAATTTATATTGGCCACCTTTCTTTAAAAGTATTGTTAGAACAAGACTCCATGTTCCCAGACTTCACTGTTTCTTACAGACCCCAATTAATAAAAAAAAGGGAGAAGTGCAAATGGAAATCCTGGTTGCCCTACTGTTGGCCAAAACCAGGATATAAGTGAGAATCCATCTTTAGTCTGAAAGTGGCTGAAAGATGTGAGTAGTACCAATAGAAATGGCCCATTATGCAGCAAAAGGCCAGAAGAACCATACATATATAGGAATCATTTAACAAGTATTATGATAGCAGACCTGAAATATCCCCTATCCCAGCCAATTCAAATAAATAAATTTATATTTGTTTTCTCCTCCTACTTTCAGGAAATGAGTAAGGCCCTGTATATATATTATGGGCCTCAGCTTGCCCCAACTGATGTAGGCAAAATTCCAAATCAACTGCCATTTTGCCTAACAAGCAGAAACAAACGTTATGCTAAATATTAATTTTCTAATTTGCATGAATGCATTTTGTGCTGTAGTTATGGGTGGCTGTGCCTGACCTTCCCTTGTGGGAAGTCTAGAGGAGTAACTTGCGGTCCAGAGGATGACTTTAAAAATAATTACATCTGATTCAGAAGTTACCTGATACCTTCAACATGCTTTTTTAAAATTGCTTTGTACATTTTTTAAGAGCATGAGACCTCTTTGGATGTGGAGCAAGTCAGACACAGCTTGTAATAGCATAGGTATAGCTGCATGTCACAGTGAGGAGGGCCCACTCAATCTAGTCCTATTGAGAATCTTGCTCTACTTTAACATTCTGTTCCCTGCAGAAATACCTCTGGCCACTCACATGTTGAATTGGAATTTTAACCAGCAGGTTTCCTCTTTATATTCTTTTCTTTCCGACTCCATTACTTCCTTCCTCTACCCCAATTAAATACACACAAACTGCCCTACATGTAACTTACAAAGCTGTGCCAGTTCGTCACCATACTCATTCACTTGTAATATTTTATCCCCATGCCCTCCCTTTATGAAGGGGAAGGTTTTTCTCTTTTCTGTTTGTGTAGCACCCAGCTCAATAGGGTACAGATCTCAATATAGTAGTGCCTACAGGGTTCAGTTTAATATAAATATTTACAATAAAAATGAGAGTAACTGAATACATGGGAATATTGCTCTTATTTTAGCTCCTTACTAACCATTGTGCACTTTCTATGTATAGCCCAAACCCATCATTCTGCACTGCAACACAGTAAAAGAAAACAGGCTTCCACCTCATACCCTTAATCGGTTTCAGCCTGGTTCTGCTCCTACTGAAATCAGTGGCAAATCTTCTTTTGCATGGCTGCTCAGCCTTAGGGTTATGAACATATTGTGTGTGTCTGTTAATGCACACACGTTTCTTTTGGCATATGGGAACATCATATAGAAAAGGTTGAGAACCACAGTCCTATTGCATTCAGTGGTAGGAGTACTGGGCCTTTGTGTTTTAAAAATAACAAGAGTACCCTCTCTGATCTTCATTACAGGAGAAGCTCTGGCATGTTCAAACTCAACACTGGCTGTAGAGAAACTCCATTCTGGAGAACAGAACATGCATCTCTCTTGCATAGAATATCAAAACAGAATCATGGCAATAAGCATCCAAATGCATATGAAAACAAAATTCCTCTAAAGGAACTAGACAAAAAGCATAGCAGTTACTTGCACAATAAGGCTAAAGGCTACCCTCCTTTGCCTAGTTCAGCAAGAATAAAGCTATTAGCCCAGTCCACTAAATACTACTAATCTTGGTGGTGACAAGATACCACTGATAAGGCCAGGCCAAGAGGTGAAAATGAGGGCAAATTTAGGATTTAGCACGACTAAAGGGAGTGGATATTTGATCACATTTAGTCTATTCCAGATCATTGGGTAGTCTTTACACAGGTATGTTTTAGGAGGGAAGGAGTTAAAACCAGCACCACACTTTAATCTTGTCAGGTTTTGTTTTGGAATCATCCATCTGATAACTTTGAGCTGACAACTGCATAAAGCCTTCTAAATACTTTGGCAGCTAAAAAGAATGCTGTCTCTTTAGGTGCAAGGAATTAGTGAAAAGTAGCTTTCCCCCACCAAGCTGGTAAGAATAAAATATACCTGATTACTGCTGTATGTATGGTCATGTAATGAGGGACTCTCAAGATCCACAATGCCCTGTCAAAATATATTAGTTTTAAACATTAGATGCCATTAACCTTTATCACAAGTCCCAAACCCTACACAATAGAAAAATACATTGCGTTACAGAATATATTATTTTGATCATGAAGACAACCTTTGATAGTTTGATAATTATTCTTAAATTGAAGTAAAGGTCATCAGAATGTCATTTCAGCACTGACACTCAATGACAGAAAAGCAAAGATTGAGTTTCGTGCCTGTAAATTTCACTTAAATAATAAATGGCCCCAGTTTGTCTGTTCACTTAGGTCCCTTCTGTTAGTTTTCCCATAATTGTGCTAGATCAGCAGACAAGTGAAATGGCAGATTCATCACTGATAGAATCTTTGTTTAAGATTTATAATCCTTTAGTTTGTGTGCTTTTAGGACTTGAGGGCATTTTCCAGTAGCTCTTCTTTATTGTGTAGGGATTTGTGTATCTTTAACTGGGAATTAATTTAATCCTTAAATTGACACCAGAACCATAGCCTTCACTAGTTGTCAAGTTAGAATTTAAATTGCTTTCTGAAAAATTTAGAAAAAATTTCAAGGAACAAGAAAATCATAACCAGAAATTGCATATGAGAAAATATATAACCCTGGAGTGACTTAGTCATAAATTCTCTCAAGAAAAAAAAAGTTAACTATTTTTTTTTTAATGACAAACCTCACCCCCCACCCCTGGCTAGGGAATAATAAATACATGGTCCTTGCAAGAATAGCCTATAATTTCTATCAGTTCAAGATTGTATGAGAAAGT